AGAATCACTTTAGCGTAAGGTTATTCAAATTCACTAAATGGTTATCGAGGAAAAAATGAAAAATTAGCTGAAAATCTCGTTTTTACTTGATAATATAATGATAATATTTATAATTGTCTGAAATAAATGCAATTTTAAAGTTTTAATTATTATTTAAACGTATTAAAAAGTTTTATGCTCATTATTAATAATGATTGAAACTAAATATTTTTTTGTTTCGAAGTTGAAATCAAGGCATATTCACTGTCAAAAGTCAGTTAAAAATTTTTCCATATTATTCGTTATTTCTTATTTTATTCAAAGTTTTTGATCAAATTCCAAATTTTCTCTCAAAGCGTATACTTTTTTTTAGTATAGATAGTATTTATTTACCTCATGATATGCTGCAAAACCTAATTAATCACGAATTTCTAACTTTATGTACTCTTATCTCTGATTATACCTCCCAAATATCCTTAACGCAGAGTTGCCGTCATTTCGTAACCGATTTTATTAGTAGTTGTAGTAAAATGTTTTCATTTAGTCTAGTAAAAAAGAAAATTCGTGGAAAAAAATTCTACCAAGTCTTTCTTATTACGTATGCATTTACAGACGCTTGAAAAGTTTAGTTTATATCTTTTGTTTAACGATATGTATATGCAATATTTTGAATTGTAGTGAAAATTATGGTTTAGCTTTGATTAGACATTTTTTATTAATAAAACTTTATAATGCTCATTAATGAATGTTTTAAGTGAGCGACTCGTTTGACCCACGTAACCTACTTGTAATAATTGTTGCAGTTCAATACTAAAATTTCTAAATTTACACATTTAGAAAATCAATCTTTGTCATTAAGATTTAATTTAACTAAAGTGTGATGGGTTTTAAATAAGATGAGAAGTATTATTATTAATTTTTTATCCATTTTCCCTATTTTATAAAAGGTTTCTTTGGCTTAATTTAATAATAGAGGTTTTACGTTTAAGTGCTGTCTTGGGATATCGGAGAAACGTCAACCGAAATAACGAATATAACCGCTGTATTTATCAACAAAACCACCTCTGTTGAAGAAATATTATACGAAGAAATATGTGGAGCAAAATTTTGCCCCTACACGAATAAAGAAGTCAATCCTAATTTAGAGCCACCCTCATCGTACAAGATTAACATGATTTCCGGAATTTATATTGCTTGTATATTATTAGCCTTCTTGACAGTAGCAATAGGAATGGATTCACCAAAAAGGTATGTACAACTAAATATATTTGTCTATAAGAGCGTCTGTACGTTTGTTAATGGGTATCATTACGTTATTATTCGGTACGCATATCAGAACGAATCAACTCATTTTCACTGATACGAATTCTACAAACATGTGAATGTTTCATATAAACCCATTAAATTTTCTAGTCAGTGCACGCAATTTGTACCTACGTGACGGATATGATACGGACGCGTGTGAATCAAACCTAAGAGTTCCGTGTTTGTTTTTTGGCTACAAAACCATAAAAAAGTTGAAACTCTTTTTCTCTTTTATAAAGCTATACATAATTAATTGTGATTTTGATTATTTTAAAACTAATTTTATGTTCTAACTCTACGGGTTCACCACCTTATTGCGTCTATTTTTTCAGATATCATAAAGAAAGAAAAAGTAAACAGCAGGGCAAAAGAATAAGTGGGCTAAAACTATTACTTGTGACATTGAAGCACATTAAAAATCCTTATCAGGCACTAATTCTTCCCATTACAATGTTCATAGGAGCAGAACAAGCTTTTTTAGCTGCTGATTACAATGTCGTACGTATTTAACAGTCTATTACTAATTATTCATGAATTTCATAAGTATTTCTTTAATATTTGTAATAAAAATTTAATTAATGGATCCCCAAAACGCCCACTCCCTTTTCACGAACTCGCTTACAATTTATTTGTTAATTTGAATTTAATCTGCATCATACAAAATGACTATTGGAACCACTTTTTAACGAGATCAATAACAAATGTACAAAAGGAAACAAAAGACGTCATAAAATTTTTAATTATGTATTTTATTTATTAAAGGCCTTTGTTTCTTGTGGTTGGAGTATAAGTAACATTGGGTTCGTGATGATATGTTTTGGTGTGTGTAATGCCGTTGCAGCGATCCTGGCTGGTGCAATCGTAAAGAAAACCGGAAGGGGACCGATCATAGCGTTTGCGTTAGTGCTTCACGTTGCGCTACTTATAACCCTTCTCGGATGGACCCCTAGTCCGAAATATCCTTATGTCTTCTTTGTTATTGCAGGACTGTGGGGTATTGCTGATGCTATGTGGTTGGTTCAAGTAAATTGTAAGTACCCAAATTATATGATTACTTGTTACCAGAGATGTGCGAAATGGTTTTTTAAAAGTATTTAAATATAAAATGCAAATAATTTTNAGACCTAGATTAGATTACTCTTCGCAAATAGTTAAGGATGTGGGCTGTTCTAGTTTTAGGGAAATGCGAAGTTTAGCTCAGGATAGGAAAGAGTGGAGGTACCGTGTCAAACCAGTCTGACGACCTTATGATGATGATGATCATCATCAAAAGTATGCTTACCTCAGAATAAAATAATAGCGACGGCGTTACAATCTTCCACACAAGTGTACTACAGTTTTAGGCACACATTGACGAAACTAGTACTGGTCGTGTGCGATACGAGTTTCGTACGAGATACGTACGATTCCCATTTCGAAGTAATTATAGAAGTTGTAATGTATGTACCATCAAATCAACGTAACGGGCACGGGTGTTGTACTAGTCTCGTCAATCGTCGACGAATATTAATTTTTCTCGTACTCGTTCCGTGCACGTTCGCACGTTGGTGGTACAATTTGTAGAAGATTGCAGGTCCATAAAATGTGAATTTTTTTTTCAAATGCATTTCTACTTTTGCTAACAAGTCCTGCAATGTTGTCTGGGTCATTCTGAAATATTCGTAGCATTTTATTTTATCGTCTATTAAATGTGGATATAATGTCATAAATTCTCCCTCAGCTGTAAATCTATTTTTCCGAACTCTATAAACCCCACTTTTTCTTTTCTTTGAATTTTTACTTCTTGCACATTTACCGTCCTCTTCTAAAACTAACGCTACTATAGCTAAATGTGTATTTATGAAATTCGAAAACATATTCGGACTTTTGTGCATACCAAAGTAAATATCATTTATTAATAAATTATTAAAACCATGCAGCCGCGCGGGTCGTACAGCTCGACTCTTAAGTAGGCGTCCCACCGAACTATCATATCGCGTAGCGTAGCACGATGCGTGGCTAATAACACGTAACGTGGCAAAAAAATGCAGCCTTGTTCACATCAAGGTAGCAACCGCATAGATGTCATTGTTATCGGACGAAGAAACTTGTTCCGCATTTGTCGGAAAATGTAAATGAACACAGAGTGTTTATTATTTCAATGCAATTGAATTTTCATTCCTTCTTTTTCTATTTCTTACACACATTGCACATTACAATTCGGCGTATCTATCATCTTATAAATAGTGCTACAGTACACATGCATTACCCTTGAACTACTACAAACTATTAGGGTCAGACTGCACTGGAACTAAGGTGGCAAATGTATCGCTAAACCTTTCCTTGCAAGTGATAGTATCTATGCCACGTGCTACGCCACTGTTACTTCACGTTACTCTGTACATCAGCATTCGCATAGGTCTGTTTTAAATTATGTCGCTGCTATTTGCCACATGCTACGTTACATGCATTTGTTACTTCGGTGTGAAACCTGGCTTACGTTTACGGAACGAGAAACACTCGTGTCGCACAAGGCTCGTACTCGTCTTGTGAATGTGTGGCCTAACCTTACAACGTGCGAACGTGCACGGGACGAGCACGAGAAAAATTGAACAAAACTCGTCTACCGATTGTCGTTGACGAAATTTGTACGACACCCGTGCCTTTTCTGCGTCCGTCACGCTGATGTGAGGCTACATGCATTACAACCTATACGATTATTTCGAAATGGGCATCGTACGTATCTCGTACGAAACTGGGATCGCACACGGCCCGTACTCTTCCCGACAGTGTGCCCAGACCTAAATTTTAATTCGGTCGTACCGTCCGCATGAATGTACATTACACCATATGATTGCATACACATATTTTTTCTTCTGTGCCATTCCGTTCGTTCGTCCGATTTCAATGTATGTATGTGCGTTTACCTTAACAAGTCTGTCAAGAGTAATATTTGATTATTCTTGACGAGGACTAAACAATATAAATTATAATTTTGGAGATGTAAGATTCAACATGATGAAGATGAAAAAATCAAAAACTTTAGATTGATAAAGCCTGTTCAAAATTTGTTGATGTAAAATTCTCAGAATTCTCAAATCAATTTTCGGAACACAAGGGTCTACCCCGTCTTACGCATACAAGCGTACATTTAATTCTTCGTAGTACTTGAAAGTTCGCTGGGTACTCGACGGAACACACATTTTTAAATATTTGAATAGGTAAATAAATACAACCTACATGTGAATTAGAAAATATTCTATCAATCGCTACGAAGATTTAAATGTATGCCACTGTATATAGGCGAAGGTCTGGACAGACCCTTATGTTTCGAGAATTTACATCAACAAATTTTAAACAGGCTCTAGCACTGTGAAGGTTATCGATTTGGGAAGCAAACTTCATCTGCCACACTTCCTAAAAAGCTTTAAAGTACGAAGAAAAAGTGTTAAATTCAGAAGACAATATGTTATTAAAAGAATGCATAAAAGTTAAGTATAATATATCGAATATTCAAACGGAAGAGAAGAAAATTAGCAGGAAAAGATGAAAAGAGGAGAAGAATTTACAATGAAAATAGGGCGGTTAATCACGCAGTAGAGGCAGAAGCTGGAAAAAGACAGAAGTTTATGAAAAGAACTGGAAATTTTAACTAAAAGAAGAGAAAAAATTAAAAACTTAAAATTCGCATAGGAATACAAGAAAATATGAAATGAAAGGGAGGGATAAGATTTAGCCGAGGAAGTGAGAATAGGATGGCAAGGTACTGGGAAGAAAATATGCAGACTGTTTAAACTAGAACCAGAGACGCTAGAACATATTTTTGAGATATGTGGAAATGGTACAAAAGAAATTATAAAAATTAAAGATAATGGAATTCTCTAAAAAAATTATCGCATCATTTTTTTTTTACGTACAACAAGAGTATACACCTTGCACGTAAACTTTGCAGCAAACTTTTGCGTAAACTATTCGTTGTACGTGAAAAATTGTAGAGAGCATATTTTTCAGGAATCTCATTATCTTTCATTTTTATAATGACCTCATTGACCTCTGAGCCATAGAAAACGCAATATTCGCAAAAAAACTTTTTAAGCGACAGTGATTTCGAGTGTTTTCCTAAACACTAAAATAAATCGATTAAATAAAAAAAATTGGTTACTTACTTTTTTAGGACATGAAAACCTAATTTACTGGACTATTTAGTTCAGGAGCCCTTTGAATTTATTTGTTGATACTTATCAATGTTGGCACATTTGTACTGTAAAATTATTTATTTAGTCGTTGTCTTATTTTATTATTGCAGGTGGTTTGGTTGTAAATGGGCAGTAGCAGTATCGTTTCTTGCTTACCTACCATTTATCGCGTCTCAATTCTATCCTCGTTTCTACACAATGATTCCTGCAGGACTAGCGGTTGGCTTGGGAGGAGGTCCTTTGTGGTGCGCGAAATGCACCTATCTATCTATCATTTCAGAAGCGTATTCTAAAGTAGCAGGCGTTGCAGCTGACGTGATAGTGACTCGATTTTTCGGAGTTTTTTTCATGTTTTATCAGTTGTCTCAAGTGTGGGGCAACCTTATCAGTTCAGCAGGTATGTAACTTATCGGGATCAAACTGTTCTTAAGGATGAAATAATTCGAAGTGGTCTGTATTCTGTCGAAACTGCCAGACGCGGATCGCGATTTCGATCTTTTTGGATCTCATCAGCGCGTCGCAGGCAG